CACAACGAAGAAAAATGTTTGATCGGAAATATGTTTGAAGGACCTCGAGCGAGATAAGAAAATATGAATGTAGACATATAGTTACATTATGTAGTATTTTGAAAAAAGTTTCCAAAGGTAGTGTGTACAGAGTAATTAAAACAGACGATGAAAAACACGATAATAATACTTTGAAGGTTGAGACAATAAAATTGAATTATAAAGCCAAACAGGCCAGTGGCGCACCCAGGGGGGTTTTGGGGCCAGGACCCTATTCCGACACTGTTATTTACAAATTTTAAGGACTTAAAATGGTGGAGGTAGCATAAAAAAATTTGGGGGCCCAACCAGAACCCCCAGACCCCCCCCCCCAGAGGAAAATCTAGGTGCACTACTGAAACAGGCCATTCGTAGTGCAGTACATGAAATTTTAGTTCAAAAAGGAATTACCAACTATAAAAAAAATTGCTTCTTTTCTTCAATCTAATGAAAATAATTCAAAAATATCAAAACGTATTTTGTTACGTACTTTACGTGAAATGAACTTTGGGTGTTAAAAGAGAAAGAGGAATACTACCCTTATTAAAAAGGAAGACATCATTTTATAGCGTAGAAGTATCTGAAACAAATATAAAAAAATAGCAGAATTTTCAAGAGATAAGAAAAACATTATACAGAAGAAATATGGTTAAAAGAAAGACATAATATGACAAAAATTTGGCAAGATTTAAATGTGAAAAATAAACGACAAGCTTTTTAGGTTTGCCGACAGGTTTAAAGGCTTCATATGGAAAGGGAAAACACCTTATTATTAGCCATATTGGTAGCGGCTCAAGATTTGTTGAAGATTTAAATGCATTTGTTTCTAAAAATACTTGAGATTACCATGAGGAAAAGCATGCAGATCATTATGAAAAATAGTTTTCAAATATTCTGTTGAAAATAGAACCAGGATATGTTATTGTTATGGATAACGCTCCATATCACTGTGGGCGTGTAAAACCAACCACTTAATGGAGCAAAGTCGGGATTGCTGATTGGCTTACTAAAAACTATAATTCAATGAATCAATTTTGAAAATTCATTTAATAAACTCTTTATCATAAAGATACATATATTAAATATGTAGTAAATGAAGAGGAGCGAGAACAAGGCGTAATTGTAGTTCGATTGTCGCCATACCATTGTGAGTTAAACCCCATAGAAATTATATGGGCTTAAATAAATAATGAAGTAGCAAGGAACAATGTTACTTTCAAATTAGATGATGTAAAAATCTGCTTAAAAGTGGCCTCAGCAATGTGACGTCACAGCCGTGGATAACACGAAATTTGACAATATGAATTAAATTTAATCCTTGAATCAGTTTAAGTTTGTTAATTTAAAGGATAAAGAGATTTTTCAAAAAAAAATAGATTTAACAAGGATGAGTGTTCTTCCAAGAAGAAAAAGCAAGTGGGGGAATATATTAACAACCAAGTTAAACAACTAAAAGAAGAAAATAACATCCAACGAGAAATCAATCAATTCGAAGAAATAATTAAGAAAACTAAACAAGATCTGCTAAAACCAAACAAAGAAACAAAGAAGAAATCTTGGATGACTCCAGAAATCCTTCATTTAATGGAACGCAGAAGGTTAATTAAAGGAAACAAAGATGAGTATAAAAAAATGCAGGATTACATCAGAAGAAAAATAAGAGAAGCTAAAGAAAGAGAAGCTGTAGAGAAATGTAAAGAAATAGAAAGACTACAAGCCAAGCATGACAATTTTAATGTACACAAAAAGGTAAAAGAAATAACGGGTACTTTTAAAAAGCGAACACAAATGAAACTCATAGACACCAATGGAAAATTAATGACACCCAAGAGATGAAAGACAGATGGAGAATATATTTGGAGACACTTTTTCAAGACCAAAGAACGGATTATAGGCATCCATTTTCAGAGAGGATGACGGGCCCGGACATACTTAAATCCGAGGTAGAAGAAGCAATAAAACGGATGAAAAGCAGGAAAGCTGTAGGGCCTGATAATATCGAAGCTGAATTTTTAAAACTCTTGGAGGAAGAAGGAATAATTTGGATCACGGCTGTCTTCAATAAAATTTACAATACAGGAATCATCCCTGATAAATGGCTAGAATCAGAATTCATAGCGATACCTAAAAAACAGGGGGCTAAAAAGTGCGAAGAATATCGAACAATCAGCCTAATGAGCCACATGTTGAAACTGTTTCTTAGAGTCATCCATGGAAGAATTTATAAGAAGTGCGAGGAACAAATATCGGACAGACAGTTCGGCTTCATTAACGCAGTGGGTACCAGAGAGGCACTTTCTGGAGTACAGGTACTGATTCAAAGATGCAGGGACGTTAACTGCGACGTATACGCGTGCTTGATCGACTATGAAAAGGCATTTGACAGAGTTCAACATCAAAAGATGATAAACATTTTAAAAGAGGCAGACCTGGATGACAAAGGCCTCAGAATAATTTCAGAACTCTACTGGAATCAGACCGCATACATGAAAATTAACGGAGAAGAAACAGACAACATAAAAATACTACGTGGAGTTAGACAGGGATGTATCCTATCGCCGTTGATATTTAATATGTACTCAGAGAAAATTTTTAACGGGGCTCTTTACGGAATAGACGAAGGCATCCTTCTAAATGGTGAAAGAGTAAACAATGTTAGATACGCCGACGACACCATGGTGATAGCAGATAGTTTAGAGGGACTTCAGAGGCTAATGGACAGAATAAACGAGTACAGTCAACAGTACGGACTAAACATTATTACCCACAAAACGAAACAAATGATTATCAGCAAGGAGAATATAAATGGGGCTCATATATACATTAATGGGACGCAGATAGAGCGAGTAAAACAGTATTGTTACCTGGGAACTATTATTAACGAACAGTGGAGCAATTTACAGGAAATAAAGTGCCGCATAGGAAAGGCAAGAACGGTCTTTAACAAAATGAGCGCCATCTTCAAAAGTCACAACATATCCCTTGATACAAAAATGAGACATTTGAGATGCTATGTTTTCTCTGTGTTGTTGTACGGGGCGGAGGCATGGACGCTTACAGACGCCACTATTAAAAAACTTGAAGCATTTGAGATGTGGCTTTATAGAAGAATGTTGAGAATATCATGGACAGCAAGGATCACGAACAAGGAAGTTCTAGGAAAAATGAAGAAGGAACCAGAGATTATGTTTACGATCAAACGCATAAAATTGGAATATCTGGGACACGTTATGAGAAATCAGCACCGTTACTCCCTGTTACAGTCTATATTGCAAGGTAAAGTCAAAGGTAAGCGAGGACCCGGTAGAAGGAGAATATCATGGCTGCGGAATTTAAGAACATGGTTTAAGAAAACCTCAACGGAGCTGTTTCGAGCCGCAGCGAGCAAGGATATGATTTCCAACATCCGAAACGGATAGGAACTAGAAGAAGAAGAAGAAGAGTGTTCTTCATCTAAGACATCTATAAAATACAAAAATAAATTTTATGACAATCAATTCGTTATAAAATTCTGATTATTTTTTTAATAATAACCGCACGCCTATAACTCGTCGATTTTCTTTCCCCCTCTTCTTTCCCCTTAGTCAAGCAAAGGTCTACATTGAAAATATGAGTCACTGGCTACAATTGTGGTACTATAGTAAAACATTATTTTATTGTTCCGGAGAAAAATATTTGCCAATCGAAATGATATAATAATTCTAAAATATTTTTATTTGCTCTTCAAATGCGCAAAACTTCTAGGATGACATTAAAACAAAAGACAAAAATAAAAAGTTTTTTGAAACTTTTGCTACGTATAGGTCCGTGTTTACTTTACTTTTACCAACAATTGCATCATATTGGAGTAGAAATGACAGACTATATAGAATAATTCAGAAACAGGTTATACGGTACGAATTATTGCTTATTTCAAATCGAGTGGCGAGCCCTTCCACGAAATAGTTAATAGCGCAGACAACAGAATTAAGGACTGATTTAAATGATTCTTGTGACGAGGACAGTGCATCTGATTATGAAAGTGAATAATATAATTTAACATTACGATGTACCTATGTAACCTATGTGAATATAAGCTTTCCAAACTGTCCTGTATGTATGTAATATTTTTTACTTTGTTACAATAATTTCGTATATTCTTCTATTTAACTTTGTTACGTTTAAGTGAGTAATAATATAAATAATAACTTAAAACAATCTTTGTAATTAATAGTTATTAATACTGTAATCTGTAATACGTATCTACGGTTTCACATATAAATAATATATGTATGTGATAATATGTATTAAAATGTAGTACAATATTGCCAAAAATATAATATGATTTAAATCAAATTGTTAAAGATAGGTACACACAATTTATTAAACAATGATATTATAAGTATTTTTTTGGAACGCCACTGATTTGTTTGGCGAGGCTTTACTGTTCCTAGAAATTTCCGCCACTGCAGTTGAAACATACTCTATTTCATAAATGGTACCTCTAATAAGTTAACGACGAAATAACTCGTATTTGGCACTGCGTGGGCTATGTGTATATCGCTTGATCCTAATTTAGTAAACTTTCGATCATATTTTCTTATTGTCTTTTTTCTCGGTTGTTCAGAACTTACTTTTTACAGAAATCTGTCAATGTAAACAAACAACTTGAGTATGTTTATATTTGAGACGCAATTATAAAAGTTTTAATTAGGAACCTATGAGATTTATAAAAAATGATTTAAAAAGAAGGATGCAATTCCTTTATCCCGAGGCAAATTTGGCTGTGTCAATAAACATTTAGATTTTGTTTATTCTCGTTCGAAGATTTTAAGATGCAATTCGAATGTTTATAAAAACTCTGTATTGACGATTTGTAAGACGCAAATTACAACCTTATTCAAGATTTAAAAAATGCTACAATATATATATATATATATATATATATATATATATATATATATATATATATAATTATTAAGATTAACAAATATATTAATTACCTCAATAATATGAAGATCTGTCCCGCATATTCCAGAATAGGCTACTTTAATTAGAACATCATTAGCATCCGTAATTTTCGGTATAGGTACCTCAACAAATTCAATCTCCTTCTTTTGTGATATTAACTGTATAGCTTTCATTTTAATGATTGATTGTGGTCTGAATTTGTTAATAACAATTTTGTAGTAAAAATACTACTAAGCAAAGATAATATCTGTTTGTTTTTTTCTTTAGTTCAAAATTAAACTTGTTGACGTATATAAATTAATATGTTGTTTATTGATTTCTATATTATCACTAGATACTGTTGTCTTTCCTATAAATCAACAATAACAATTTTTTTATAGAAAGGTTAACGGTTCTTAAAATAGCATGTTTTTGTATGATACTCAACAATTTGCTTACGTCGTACAAATTATAGATAAAGTAAGAAGAGCTTATCACATCAATAAATTATTCGGAAAATTCGGTGACATTCGACCCAAAAGTTAAGTTGACAAAACTATCCATTGACAAAAATGATAGTTAAAATAGGCTGTGAATTGTTTTGGGTTATGTTAGAATATTAATAAGCTATACAGAATGGCATGTTAACTTTGTAATTATTTACACTAAACGTTAAAGTTTTTTAAAAGTTGTGAATGAGATGGAAGAACTCTGGGCAATGTGAAATTAACAATCATTACATTATAGTATTCAGGTAACCCCAACGGAAGACACGAAAATGGGGTAGGTATAATCTTACATCAAGAACCAGACATCTTAAAAACTTTGTACCCATATCGGAAAGAATGCTCCTCCTTCAACTTGATACCTACCCAATAACAACTAACATTATCCAGGTATATACCCCTGAAGCTGACAAACCAGACGACATAAGTAGCATTCTATAATACTATCCAACACCTTAAAACACTTTCCCAAAAAGGATCTAACCTTGATTATGGGTGATCTAAATGCCAAGATTGGTAAGGGACAATCGGGAGAATTCATAGGACAGTTTGGGCTTCGAGAAAGAAATGAGCGAGGAGACCGATTTTCTGAATTTATATCAGAAGAAGAGTTTGTAATTACTAACACTTACTTCAAACTCCCATGCAGAAGATTATGCACGTGGAAATCACCTTAAGATACTTCAGGCTACATAGTCAGAAATCAAATAGATTACAATATAATTAATAAAATATTCTGTAACAGCATTACATCAGTCAAGACATACCCGGAGCCGACATTAAGTCAGACAAAACAAAGAAATATAATGTTTTGTCTTTTTTTCCAAAATCAGACTTCTCTGCTCTTTGAATATATACATATTACACATTGTTCAGAGTCCTGATTTTATCTAAGGTCGCCACACGACCGAGAAAGGGTTTGGAGAAGACACGGAGAGCGACATTTTCGATGTAATATTGCGGAAAGAATAAGTTATCGGGGGGGCTCCGTTATGGTTTGGGCTGGTATCAGTTCAGAAGTCCATACTGATTTAGTTATTGTAGATAGAGGTTCTATGACTGCTACAAGATACATAACAAGTATTTTAGATCAGCATGTGGTACTTTTTGCTCCTTTCATTGAACCTAATTATATTTTTATGGACGAAAACGCTCGTCCTTATCGTTCTAGAATCGTCAACCAATATATAGAGGAGGTGGGAATTGTATGTATAAACTGACCAGCTTGCAGTCCCGATCTCATTCCCACAGAATATCTATGGGATTTGATGGGAAGACGTCTTCGAGCACGAGTACCCCGTCCAAACAACTTGGCTGAACTTACAAAGGCTCTTCAAGAAATATGGGACCAATTGGATCAATTTGATATTCAGAGGTTAATTACCTCAATGCCTAGATGTGTACAGACTGTTATAAGGGCCCGAGAGGGAAATACTAGATATTGATTTATTATCAATGTTTTTCTTAATTTCAGAAAGTTTTGAATATTCTTGTATTTTTGAGTTTTGGCGTATGTCTCTATAACTAAATGATTTTTTTGGATAATCTGGAAAAATTATTTTAATCTAACATATACTTGTACATATATACCTGATTTAAAACTAATATCTTCAAACGTTTTGTTTTTTCAGCAAATAATACCCATGGATCAATTTTTTCGCACCTGAGTGTATTATGTTATTTACCTTCATTATTAGATCCGCTGTCGCCGTCGCCGAAATCAATTAAATCGATTGTCCCTGTATTTATCTTCGACCTTAACATGTTAACACACTTTCTTCCAGTTATCTACAGATATTTTGACAAATTCCTCTTTCACCAACATTTCCACAGCTCATATGGTAAAATCAACATTTTGTTTGTCAAATCCATTTCTCATTTGCATTCATACCATTTCTACAGAGCTTAAATGTGGATGATATGGTGAGTACGTTTTAAGAAAACATGTACACAAATCTTAGCAGTAGCTTATCAAATTTATATTGAATATGATCTTATTTGGTCGCTTCATACAGTTGCGTTTTCCTTTCTACCAAGGATCTTTCAAAACAGCTTCCAAGTAATACTTTGTGTGGCCCTATAACAAATACAGCATGGTACATATTTTAGTGAAAAGTATATAAATATAGGAAAGTAGATTAATTTATGGGCTTATAGTTTTTAAACTAAGTAGTATTGCATTTTTATGAATTAGAATAATTTCTGCGTTATGCCACTGAGTTGGTGTTCCTGTGTCCCTTAACTTCGAACTTCATAATGTCCTATGTCCTGTCAAATTTCAGATCCCTATTAATTATCTTAGGTAATAGTCAACTCTAGATATATTTTTGATCTTAGTATAGTTCTTAGTATAGTTCTTCTTCTTCTTTATATAGACATGACTCTGTCTGTTTTTCAATGTGCCTCCAGTAAATTGTCGTTCCATCGTTTTCGTGGTTTTCCTACTGATCGTCTTCTTATAAGCAAGGGAATCGTCTCTTGCCGTCTTTACTACTCTGTTGTTGTAATTTCTTGTTGTAATAGTTATATTTGACAAAGTCCGAAAAAAATATATATATTTGACAAAGTCCGACATAACAAAATGCTAGAAATATTGGAAACAGCTGGATTGGACGATAAAGATCTACGAATAATTACTAATCTATACTGGCATCAAGTGGCAAGAATAAAGGTTGAACAAGAACTGTCGGATGAAATAAATATAAAAAGAGGAGTGAGACAAGGCTGTATATTGTCGCCCTTTATTGTTTCATTTAGGCAACCTGTGGCTCTGTTTGCTCTATTCACATGACCTTCCACCTCAGTTTCGAGCTTTCCGTAGCTAGATAATGTGAGGCCTAGATATATAAACTCCATCACTAGTAAATTTGTTGTTGTAACCTGCTCTTCTTCTCACGAAGAAACTCTCACGAAACATAGATATGCCGGTTTGTTGTATTCTAATGATTTCTCTTGCACTTGCCTGTTCGGTTGCAATTCTATTTTGTTCTATTATTTTTTGGATTAGGTTTAATAGTTGTTTGGTCAGATCCTTTGCTCTTGGTGATTTTCTATTTTTTAATTTCCTTAATACTTCCTTTACCTCTTTCTCCAAATTTCTTTTTTTGTCGTCACCTCTGGTGTTGGTGGTTCAATATCGTCACCTTTAGCAAACAGGGATCGAAAGTAGTCTACCCATGTTTCTTTCTGAATGTGTTTCGTTTTTATTAGTTCGTTCATCTCTTTTCTTTGTCCTCTGATCATTCTCTATATTTCTATTTGTGCCGTAGAAGTCGTATTCTATCTATTTTAAGAAGCTTTGCCAGTGTTCCCTTTTTGTTTGTCTAACTAAAACAGTTGTTAAAGTATGTTAGTGTTTTTTACTTTCCTCTCTCGAAGTGATTCTGTTGCTGCATTAATTATGTTATTTTTAAGTTTTTTCCAGATTTCTTCGATGTTATCGTGATCTAATATTTCATTCCCAGCGATCTTCTCTGATATTCTTTTTCTGTATAACTATTCCGTGGATTCCGTATTTAATCCTTCGACTTTAAGTTTTATTTGTGTTGGGCCACTCTCTTGGGTGTGAAGTATAGCAGGATGATTTTTATTTTACATAATACTAGGCTATGGTCACTACCTACATCTACTGTATAGTTGGTTAGAAAAACTCTCTACATTGTTCGTAATTTGATCTCGATTTTCATTGCCTTATGTTTGATCATTTCTTAATTTGTGGATTTTTTTTCTTCCATGTTCTATCTTAGTACTTTCCAACTCTTGTTTCGTTCTATTTCTCTAGATATTTTTATGATATTGTATCTAATTTTTTTACTAATTTGTAATTTTCTAGAAGATTTTAAACTATGAAAGGTTTTCTTTGGCCATAAACTCATGCGAGCCTTGTAAATCATCAGGTGTGGATGCTATATATCCAGCGTTATTACAAAATTGACCGGAACGTTTGTACCGCAGAATACCGCTGAAGCAGTATAGCCTTCGGATACGTACCTAAACTATGGAGAGAAATTAGAGTATTATTAGAGTATTATAAATATTGGTAGATACTCCAGCACATCAAGAGCAATAAGGCTATGAAGCAGGGAATTCAACCGAAACAGCAGTCTACAGACACATTGGAGAACACAATTGAAAATAAAGAAGTGATGCTGTTTTTTGGATTTAGATATTTTGACAATACTTTGATAATATCTATAACCAATGCCCTGAGACGTAATGGAGTCGAGGATATTTATTTGAACTGCATAGACTATATTTTATGCTAAGGAATAGATATGTAAATACCACCATTCTTGGAGAGGCCATATTGGCCCGTGTCAATAGAGGATGCACACAGGGGGAGTTCTGTAATCACTATTACCAGATCTGCTGATGAACGGACTAATAGGAACATTAAAGGCAAATAGTGATAAACCAATTGAATATACGGATAATATGACTAAGAATTATTATATACGGATAATAAAACCATATTCCTTTGGGTCCAAGAAATCCAGTTAAAGGGAGAGATAAAGTATCTTGGGGCTGTATAGACTCGAAACTTAGCTGGAATTGGCAATTAGAAAAAATAATAAGCAGTCTAGTAACAACTCTTATGAGGGTTAAATATTTCTTCTTCTTAGGGGCCTGTCCGTTCCGAACGTTGGCGATCATTCTGGCTGATGATGATGATTTTGTTGGTTGCTATACGAAATAGCTGTGTTGAGGTCTTTCTATACCATGCTCTCAGGTTAGCAAGCCAGGATATTCTTCTTCGTCCTGGGGCTCTTTTTCCTTTAATTTTACCCTGCAAAATGCATTGGAGTAGCTCGTATCTGCCTTGATTTCTCATTATATGTCCCAAGTACTCCAGCTTACGGCTCTTCACAATGTTGACCAAATCCGCGGTTGTGTTCATCCTCCGCAGTACTTCTTCATGTTAAACACACGTATGGGAATAAATGGGGACTAAACCTGACTTGGTGTACACTATGGTGGTATAAGATACTTCAAACAGCTGCATAAACTCAGCAAGGTACAAAGACTTGCATGTATGTGGATAACTAGTGCCAACTACTCCAACAGCAGCTGTAGAGGCTCTACTAGGCTTGCCTCTCTTAAATTGGATAATAAAGGGAAAGGCAATATTGGAAGCCTTGAGAATAAAACAATGACTAAAATTTTGCAAGAAAGGATATGGCAAATGAGTGTCACAAGAAATGTAACGAAAAACATATTTAATGCGGAACCGGATGACAAAAGGATACAATTTTAAGAATTCATACATTGTGTCTATTCCAAACAAGAATTTATGGAGAAACAAGGAGTGCCACAACCAACAGGGTAAGATCTGGTACACAGACGGATTCAAAACTACAGAGGGTTTGAAATATACTCCAAAAATTAAAGAATTAGCAATAGCTTTGCTTTTTGGCACCATTTTCCAACCAGAAACGTATGAGATACTGCAATATTCAAAGAGAAATGACGAGGGAGCAGTTGAAAAACAGCAGTTTGCCAAATGACACCCAAACTGATTTAGGACCACATAGAAGAACTGAATGAACCGGTTTGAACTCAGACCGAAACAATGTTGATCTTGTCTAGGTAAAAGGTTCTACCAGGGCATCGAAAAAGCAGATTAAATTGCTAAAAGGAGATCGAACTAATAAAACGGCCGGCAGTGACTCTGGGAGTACAAAAGGCTCCAGTACATAGGACTATAGAGGACTGGATCCGAGAAAGTCAAAAGCGATATTGGGAAAGAATTCTAAAAAAAAATACATGGTGAAATCTTCATCGGTGGACACATTAGACTCATTACAAATCTTAAAAAGGGAATTGTAGGACGTGCAAAAATAAATGGAAAAAACTTTGGGCCTATGTCCAACTGTGGACACAACTAAACACTGTTTAACCCTCCGTTAGTCGCTATCGGTCTCACACACCGACGACAAAATTATTCATTCGGGATTTACAAATAACTGTTATTTTTCTATCGCCACTTTCTGTACCTCTGCCTATCAACCGAACTCGTGTTAGTGTACATTCTTACATTCCTGGGTACAATTGTGTGAGTTTTATAGTTATTTTCGGTGCCAGAGTCCGTAGCGACTAACGGTGTAGCTATTATTTATTGCAGAACTTGCAGAACAGGTAAATATTTATCATCTTATTATTACATTTTATCGGTAAGTTTTTGTCAATTCTTATTCATAGATGTCCTTTGAAGCCAAACAACTTTGATTCCAACGCTTGTTGGAATTATGGACATGATTCCTACCGACGATGAAAATTATTTTGACGATGAGAAAAGTGAAAGCGAAATGGATCAAATTGAGGTGGTGATGGTGGAAATGAATCGGAACAAGATGTGACAGATGAGAAAAAAGAAAGTGGAAGTAATACCTTAGCGTTTATTGGAAAATATAGCGTTACTAGATGAAAAAAGGCTATTCCACCGTAAAATGTTAGAACAAGATAAGAAAATTATATAGTACGTAATACAATCTAATGTTTGTATTTTGAGAACGATATCCGATGTGAAAATTAAAACATCAATAAGCTTACTTTAACCTTTAATTGTGGCTTATTCCCATTTAAACAGTAATTACTTTAAAATGCCACAAGAAAATAGCTCAGAACAATATTCACAATATATTGTTATGCTAGTGTTTTTCATTTTGTATCTGTTCTTTTTTTCAATAAAATATTTTCAAAAATATTTTTGAGTTATTCCTATAAACAATATAAAATATTTGTATGAATTTTATATTAAAAACAATCTTTTTTAGTTGTCGGTCTCAGACACCGTAGCGACTCTTGATGCTCAGTTTTTCCTAGCGACTAACGGAGGGTTAATGATGATGATACTTCTATCAAAAGGACACTACATTGAGAAATAATTGCAGTTTTTAATTTAAAAATGTCTCACAGTATTTTTAAATAGATTATTGAAAATCAAACACAAAATTTCAAACTTAAAAATATTTATTTATAATATTTAAAGCTTAAACACAGCCTTTGCTATGGTACCTTTCTTTAATAAATTTATAGCTTCTTCGTAATCCTTCAATGCAAACGTCTTAATTCCAATCTTTTCATAATTTAAATACCTGCAAAACATAAATTTCTTAGAACCCCAAATAATCTCTTCATTGTTGTCTTACCTGTCGCCCATGGCTTCCAATAAACCCAACGACTTTGGAAAGCTGAAGGGGTTAACCAATACCCCGTAAATTTTTAATTCCTTCATGTATATCTCAAAAGGTTTTATTCTGAAAAGATTCAATACTTTAATAATGATAATAATAATTTACGAATGGACGTAAAACTTTAAAAGTGGTATCTAAATATTACAACTTTATTCAAAGTTCAGTTGTTAGTTTTGTAGAATCTGAAATCTAAAAACCTAGTAGTTACAGATAATCCTAAAAAATATCATACAACGACAATTGGAGGGAGATACATAATCTAAAAGCAAACAATGGGTACTACAATAAAAACAGGCATTGGTATCGGAAAGGGAGAAAACACAAAAATAAATATATACGCTAGTACAAAAACGTAAATAAATCAATGAAACAAAAAATTAAATCTATTAGAAAAATATGCAGAAATACAAAGATTAAAAAACAGCATGACAGCTTTAACGGAAAAATTAAAGAAGTTGTCAACTGACATATACAAGAAAAAGGTATTGGAATTATAATAATAATTTAAAGGACAGAGGAAATAAATAAATGGGAAGAATATATTGAAGATGACGAAACATTAGAGAAATCGAACCAAGAGGAAAAAATGGACCCGAAATTAGCAAAGGGGAAATAGAAAAAACATTAACACGTTTCAAAATTGATAAAGTCATGGGACCTGATGAAATACCTACATAAATCTTACGACTACGAACAGAGAATCACATTGATATACAGTAGACTCCCTCTTAACCGGCTACCTCGGGACCAGAGCCTGGCTGGTTGACCAAATGGCCGGTTCATCCGATGTGGTACGCCCGTCCGGTAGGAATCTATAGAGGAGTATCACCGAGCCGCAAGTCCTTATCTCTTGCCGTACTGCTCCACCATAGGCCGATCAGATACCAGCATATTCTAGTCTAAGCCGCAGATTCATCTAGAATTTTAAACTGCTGCGTTAGACTTTTTGTTTCCTGTACACCGAGCTGGGGCTCGATCCCACATCCACTGAACCATTCGACAGTGAAGCGAATAAGAGGCAGCCGCACAGCCCGCTGAGCTATCTGACCGACAAGAACATACATACATATATCAAACACATGTACAGGAAGGTGTATATTAATAAAGATCACGGAGTACACAGTTGAAAAACACTATTTATTGTACCTATATCTATGTACATATATATAATTTAAATATTTTACAAACTTGTTTTAAAAAAATCGGTAACTTTCTTCTGTTTCTTGACATTAAGTGAATTTTTAAAAGCTATATCTTTTCATTTTTTAAAAACCAAGACATCTATTGAAGATGACCCAGGTTGTTGTTCAATATACTTCAATATCACCTCCATTGCAGCTTCGGTATGGCCGACCTTCTCATCTCCGTCAACATCATCATCATCATCAGTCTCCTCATTTTCATAAGGCTCTTCATGTGGTGCTAGTTTAATTATTTCGTCGTCTGTTAAAAATTCGTCAAGTTCCTCGTCACAGTTCATATATATAATAACGGACTGATTACGGCTGTCGCCGCTTCTCCGCCCCCAATTTCCATCTTTTTCTGTCATACGCAGTTGCCTCTTCTAAGTCTCTTGCCGCCATTGCTTCATCAATATCGTTGCGCCAACTTTTCTCTGGTCGTCCTCTCTTCTTCTAGGAGGGATCCATTCCAGTACTCTTTTAGGCCATCTGTACTCTGGCATTCTTTTAACGTGTCCGAATCAGATTAATTATTTTCTTTCTATGTCATCATTGATATTTCGCTTCATTTTCATTTCGTTTCTTATTTGTTCGTTCCTAACTCTTTCTAGTTTCGATCTACCGCAGCTTCGTCTCAGATAATCCATTTCTGTCGTCATAAGTTTGTTTTTATTAGCTTTGGTGACGTCCCATACTTCCGAACCGTAAAGTGTAATACTTTGGACTATACTACAGTAAATGTGTTTTTTGGTTTCTCGTCGAATTGTTTTTTGTCAGAGAAGAGAGTTTAAGGCACGGGTTGCTGCTCTACCCTTGTTTATTCTTTCCCTGATTTCATCTGCGCTATTTCCCTTCTTATTGAAAATGACCCCCAAATATTTTTTGCAGGATTGTACGCCTTTGATTTTGTCGTCTTCCAAGACTAGATCACATATTTCATCTGTTTCCACTAATAGATATTCATTTTGTCATATTCATGTTTAGACCTGCCATCTCATATTCTTCTTGCAGTTTTCTTACCATATAGCTAAGATCGTAGCTATCTTCGGCAATTACTACCTGGTCATCCGCAAAGAAAAGTGTATATAGCGTGTTTTCTTCCACCGTTATTCCCATGTTTCTACATTTTTTTACCCATTTCACTAAGGATCTGTCCAAATAAATTTTAAATAAGGTGGGTGACAGACAGCAGCCTTGTCTTAGTCCCTTTGTTGTTTGAAAAGGAGAGGTGATTATCTTTGGCCTGCAATTGGACATTTTCGGATAATGTTTGGAGATCTTGATGGTGGTATAATTATCTTCTTCGTGTGATTGTTGACACTCCACAAGTTTCTCAATGTTGGCCCAAAGTTTTTGCAAGACTTAAAGAAAGTAAAAGCAGGAATTTCTAGAAGGCGGAAGCTAACATGTAAATTACGTCTTTTAAGTTAATTTTTTTGATGATATCAATAAGATTGAGATCTTCACTTTCTGCGCCTTTTTGCCTGTATCGTCTTTTCAAGCTTTCAATCACCCCTTGATCCATCGGTTGCACCAAGCTTGTCACTTTAGGAGGAAGATAGATCATTTTTATGTCATCTGTCTCATATGTTAGGTTTTCAGGATGAGTTGGAGCATTATCCAGAAAAAGGACTACTTTAGTGGGAAGATTTACGCTCTTAAGATGGCGCATTACTCTCGGAACAAATTCACGCTCAAACCATTCTTTGAATAGATCGGCGCTCGTCTATGCTGATTTTTGTGATCTGTAGAATACGGGGAGGACGATGGATGTAAGTTTTTAAATGCACGTGGTTTAGCGGACTTTACAACAACGAAAAGAGGAATTTTGTGTGTTCCTGCTGCATTTGAACAAACAACAACTGTAATGTTGCAAATATTCTTTTTAAATTCAGAAGCCGAATATTTCCCAAAAATATTTTTTCTTGAAGCATTTTAAAATTGAGACCCACTTCATCCATGTTATATACTTGTTCGGGTTTTAATTTTTCCATTTTTATAATTTCTACAAACTGGAAGGTAAAATCAGTTGCACCTGAAGCGTCCGCGGACATTTTTTCTCCATTTACGTGTGCGTAATTAACTCCATGACGTGCCTTCCAGCGAGTCAGCCAACCTTCACTTGCAATAAATTCGCCTCCGTCTATAATTTTGTTGTGTATACATAAATAATTTTCCCTTGGACTCGGGCCGCTGATAGGTGTACCCCTTCGCCGTTCTTGAAGGAACCACAACCGAAGAGTTTCTTGTGCAGAAATCATCGAGTTAGAATCTATGGAGAGGGCATCACGTGAGTAAAAAAACTGTAATAATATATTGTGATAGTGCATAATAATGGTTTCTTGTTTTCAACGTAGTTGCAGTAGCAGAAGCAATGTTAATAAAAAAGAATGGCTAATATCTGTGTTCATCCCAACACGCAAATTAACCAACGCAATGTAATATCGCTGTCCCAAAAGTATAATGACAGAATCGTAAAATTTTGAAAAATGACTTTATTGTATTGTAGGGATCAAAACTGCATTTTCTATATATTTGTAAATTCTCATAATTGTAATTACGAAATCCTATATCATGACGAAATTCGTCAAACAAAAGTGGCGATAAAAGAATGTTGCCCATCAATTTAAACTATGTCACTTTGGTTCCAATATAATGTTTGCACTGTATTTATGATTTTACTGTCAATGCGCTTGTTCATAAGTATTGATATTAGTTTTTTATGTCTTACTTTATCGAAAGCTTTTTCGTAGTCAACGAAGCACAAGTGTAGATCAACGTTTACATCCCGACGTCGCGACGTCACGCGGAACACTAAAAAGATCCAGCTGAACTTCTGTGGTCACGCCGAATCTAGCACTATTTCTCTCTGCGGAATTTGACATAAATTCTTTAAAACTTGGTCGCCGGTCATCTTTGATCTCAAGTTAAAGGGTTCGTGCTTCTTCTGTTTCAGTTGAGCCAGCATAAGGTGCAAGACGATTTATGTGAACTACTTTTGGTTTACCTTACGGCAACTTCTTATTCGGTATATTACGTCATTTATTCTCTTTTTATTTTCATACGGACCTCCCTACCTAAAGATCACCTACTTTATAGCTTTCATTTTTGCATCGAGAATTATATTGATCTTTCATTCTGTCCTCGAACATTCTGACTCGAAGTTTCGCCCTTGGTCGGAGTGGATCTCTAAGGGAACATTAAATCGGCTAAAGAATTCTTTAACAAGTACCTCTGCAATGGTACCAGCTTCTTGATTTGGTATCGCATAGCATGGTTACCAGGATATACTTATTTCCATCATTCGTCTCTGGAAATGGACCTGCAATGCCGATTGCTACTCTTTCCATATGACTACCACCATTGCCCTCTTTTTACCAACTGGACCATTACTGGTTGCATACAGTTCACATTTCCGGCATCATCTTCTTACACCATCTTTACAGTTCACCTAATAGAACTGTTTTCGAACCTTTTGCAGAGTCTTTCTTAATACCAAAGTGTCCACCTGATACTCCGTCACGCAACGGACGCAATATTTCTGACACTTTACTTCTAGGTGCAATCAACTGAAGCTTAGATTCTGTACCATAATTGTTTCTAAAAGTTCTATACAAAAGATTATTTCTTAGTACTAGGCAATTCCATTTGCTCTAGTAACACTTGATTTCTCGACTACATGCACTAATGTCTTGCGAAGGAGGTATTTCACTTCGACGCATCCAATCCAATACTCTTTTTATACATGGATCATCTGCTTGAGCGTCTTGTAGCTGTTGAGGCTACCGTTGGTCATTAATGACGGTTGTTCGTCTGTGAGACGAATGTCCAAGTTGCCCAAGATCCTGAGATGACTAAAGGAATCTCATCCGTATTTTATAAGAAATTCGATCGTTTAGATGAGTTAAAAAATCAGCAGCCTAAAGTTGGAAGAGCACTGACATTAGAAGGGCTCGATCTTTGTTGTATATGGTGACCAGGAAGTCGTATACAAGGATATATGGCGTGCTCTAACTAATTAGAAGAAAATAGTGTGCAATTATGAAATCAAGAATTTGGCCTTACTCAAGATAGGACATACACTAGATAATCTGGATTGGAAGATTGTCAGAAGCATGCTTGGAGTGATCTTCCGAGAAACCGGCGTACGAATTACTGTGTATTACATTAACCTGAAGAGATCGTGTCTTTCAAAATCAGTAGACTACTATTTCTTCTTGAGGGGTTCATGCAGAGCTGGAGACTTCTGTAGATTCCGCCACTAGAGCCTACATCTAGAGTTGCTGATCGGGACGCTCAGATCTAAGATGGGAGCAGTGTAACAAAATAGCCCATCTTTGATGCGTGGTACATGTTACAATTCTAAGAAGGATAAATCTAGAATATTCAAGTGTTGGCACTTTAATAGCGCCCGTCTTCGATGCGTTTTCAATGAGAAGAATAGAGGTGGACTATTCCAGAATATTCTAGTATATAATAACTTGTATATATAAGCATATATGTACTTGTATATATAAGTATACATAAGATATTTTCGTGCTGTAAACTTATAAATAAATATATTTATATAAATTACGAACCGCTCGTTTTGCTTAAAAACAGTACAGTCTCTTAACTGACCGATTGAGACCAAACCTAACAAAATGTTGTATCGATTGCTTATCTTATATTTCGCAATCATCCATACTCACTTTATTTCTGAATGAGGTGGTGCCACGCCAAATATACATAGTTTTCCTCCTCTCCTCAGTAAAGATATCGCATGCTCCACAGCTGGTGCATATCCACTACAATCAATAACGAGATCGAACAAGTAATTAGGATCAGCTTGTTGATTCTTTTTCAATTGATCTGGAGTAATAAGGTTATAACCAGTATCTACAAATAATTTTTTTTGTATTAAATACTCTTTGGATTCTCTTATTTGAATACTTACTTAATTTCTTAAGCATGTCTAGACGAGCTGAATTTGGCTCAGAAACGGTGACGTTTTTATGTCCTTGCAAGTGTAGATTACAGACCCACAAGTTTCCAATAATTCCAGCACCGGTTATTAGAATTTTCTGTCCCACTGTAACTGGACTTATGATGTCCCATCCGTGAGCTAAGCACGATAGTGGTTCAGCTAAAGCAGCTGCAAGAAAAAGAATAATAATTTAAAAGTGTGTAACTATAACTATTTGAAATTAGGTGACTATTTTCCTGCATAATCAATTGGAGCAAGTTGTATGTTTATCTACGTATAATACCTCCGAGATATTCAAATTTTTTTGTTTTGATGGGATATACTTAACGGTGTATACCATGTTTTACCTTTCTGCTTTAATATATTCCCAACTGCACTATCCCAAGTCTAGGTGTTCCCCTTCTTCTTTTTTTGTCTATATGTCTTCTCATATTCGCTTAAGAGGTATTTTGCTGTTCATTATGTAAACGTGCAAGTGCCCTAACCAACCAAGTTAGTCTTGTTTTCTAGTTTTCTGTGTTATTAATTCAATATTCAGTATAAACTCTTTTATTTCTTACTTTGCATATTCGTTAAACACTTTACGTATACCGCTTGTATACTAAATGCTATGTTAACACCCATGCTTTCATACTTTATACCCATCTGTTTTTTTTTTCAAAGTAAAGATGAGAATAGAGAAAGAAGACCTTAACATAATAGGAGTATGGGGCCCAGAAAATGTTAAACCTCAAACAGCAAGGGAAACGTTTTATGACCAATTACAACAAGTAGTAGATCAAGTCTATATTGGAGGATTTTAACGCTCGAAAAAGCAAATAAGTAATATCCGGAATCAAGCAAAAACATAACGAGAATGTTAAAAACCAAAATGGAGAACCGATGATCAACTTCTGCACGAATAACGAACTTAGATTAAACAACACATTTTTTGGCCACAAAGATCAACAAAATATAGATATAATAACACCCGTAGACTATGATAGATAATCTATGATAGATTATGCTATACCCAACAAAAATATACATCTATCGACGTGAGAGGCCTCAAATCAGCAGATGTTAGCGACCATAGAACTAAATACGGAATCCACGGAATACTTATACAAAAGACGAATAACAGAGGGAAGGTTGTTGGGAATAAAATATTAGAAAACGATGATATCGAGGAAAGTTGGGAAAATCTCAAAAATAACATAGTTAACGCAGCAACAGAGTAACTTGGAGAGAAAAGAGTAACGAACACTAGAATATAAAAAACAACATGGTTTAGAGAGGAAATGAAGACAAAATGTGAAGAAAAAAAAAGAAAGCCTTTTTGATGTTGAAATATGTTGAAAATGACAGTTACATGATGAAGCTATTACAAGAAAAATCTACCAAGGCTGGCCTAGATATTAATATCCCGAAAACAGAGTACCTAGACAACGTAACAATTAAAGAAAAGGATAAATTTAGCTTCCATACTTGATGCTTCTGGTAGGCTTTTCGTTTTCCTAAAGCTTTAAATGTTTTCTCATCAATGTTGTTTGTCTTTATATCTTCGATGTATCTTTACATCAAAAATAGTATTAGCAAGTTTGTGAATTCTTCATTACATACTCGGTACGAGTATACATTGCTTTAGAATAAACATTTGATTTTATGTAAAATTCATTACATTCATTCATTACATACGATTCATTAATTGCACCGATTAAAATCCAGATTTAAATCCAGACTACGGGGTAGCTAAAGAAACTCACTCGATCTATATAGCGGTTTGGGAATACATTGTTAAAAAAATATATTAATTTAAGATGTAAGAGCTCCATTTATAAGTTTATTATTAAGTGAGGTTTGCCACATGTCTTCAAATAATACGTGACTGTTTTTTCTCACTTTAACTTATTATTTTTCGTTTTGTTTTTAAACAGAATTAATACAATATGTCAGTTACCTTGTTCCAGGGTAATGGAATCACTTAGTTTATGGACTTGATCTACAGGAGCCACACAATAATTGGCCCATCCTCCATTCCTAAAGATTCCAATGGTATTACTGATTCCACCTATTGAGCAATAATGAGGGTTTCCTGAATGGCAGTGATCGCAGCACAGACATCCACTAAAATGATTCATTAATTATTAGCACTACAATTATTTTTACATAATTTAATAACATGAATGCTACAGAAACGTTGGCCATAAAAACTTCACAGATGGAAGCCCCCTGGAAGATAGAAAAGAGGTAGACCTTGACGCTCATGTAATGAAGGAATTAGAAGAGCGATGGAATCGAGAGATTTGGAGGAGGAGTATGCCTTGGACCGGGAGGATTGGCGGAGGTGAACGGGAATACGGCGATAGATGTCTCCAAATTGTATTTTATTTACAAGTTGGATCCTGTACTAATTAAATCGTAGATTATAAGTAAAATAATAAAATAGTTTAATTAGTATTTTTATAGTTTTGTCAAGATTGTCGAAAAATGTGGTGCTTTGCTTGTTTAGCTTTTATATGTAATATTGTTTTTCCTGAAATCTGTCAAGAATATCCAATTCTGTGCCAAATTACTGATCCTGGAATACCGTAATTCTAACTAGCCATATTGGTAGAAGAGTTGGCCACAAAAATGGTCAACGAGCCGATTAAAAATGTTAAGTTAGAGTTGAACTAAGAAACGAACCAAAGGGATACCTAAGGATAGGCTCCTGGAACTCAGGCGGAATAAGAACAAAGGTAAACGTGCTGAAATAACTAATTAATCGACATGAAATGGCTGTCGTAGCATTTCATGAAAATTTCAGGAACAAGCTTACTCACGACATAAAGATAAAGTTTCTAGGATATGACGTCTACGGAACCAGGAACGACTATAGAGCAAATTTAGGAGGAACTACTATCCTAGTGAGCAAAGGAATAATTCACACTCTTTAACGGACTTTCAGCACTTATGGAAGCAACTACAATCAACGTTCAGACGAAACAAAGATAAATAAGGATTACTTCAGCATATGTAAGGTGTAGACAACTAAACAACAACGATATGGAAGTGTTCTTGAACATAGAAGAATTGTCCACAATAATAGAAGATCTAACCGTCAGATCCGCTGACTAGAATGATAGAGTTATAAACAGAAGATAAAAATGATAAATAACTATCTAGTGAACAGAGAATTCAAGGAGGTGATATTCTACCAACTCATCTGGATATAGTAGTAGCTAATAACATATAACGAACAGACAGAATTCCAAACAATAAACAAAGGATCAGGAGATCACAACCCTACATTCGTAGAAATAGGCACATGAGAAGAAGATAGAAGATCAACAACAAAGAAAAGACAGAAAACAAAGTGGTCAAATTTCAAAAGATACATTTCAAATCAAAAAGTAAGCATTGGAATTAAAAACATCCCAACCATAGATAACCCACAAAAACTGAAAGAAAAGTTATATCGTTAGAAAACATCAAAAAGGATGCTCTAAGAAATTGCACTACTGAAGAAGAGTATACAATACGCGTGGGAAGATTAAGAGATATCAAATAGAAAAAGGACAGAGCCAAACAGAGAACCAGAAAAACAAGAAACCAGAAAGACAAAAATCGGCCAAACCTGACAACTCAAACAGGTACAACTAGAATATATTAGCCAAAAGTGAGACAATTATGTAAAGAAAATGGAAGAACGGAGCCAAAATATGCAAGAAATATGGAGGCTCCAACTCCAAAGAATAAAAAAAAATGGTAGAAAACTCATTTCCCACGGGAACATGGAATCGTTTACTCTATAAAATATAAAGCTGAGGGGATGAGGAGGACTCTCAAGAAAGAGAGAGATCGAGATAGTACACTGAATTATTACCAAAAAGAAGACATATACTTTATCGAAGAAGAACTCTAAGAAACACTAGAAACTACCAAGGATCAAGAAGAAATAATCGCCCCACCTCTCCTAAAAAAATAACTGAGGTTTCAGGAAAAGCTCACCAAGAAAAACACCTGGTTCAGATGAAATAGCAAACAGGACCTTGAAGTATCCCACAGATTTCTATGGGAGAGAAGGATGTCCTGAGGAGCATTTGGGCTCGGAGTAGTCTCTGATTTACTCCTGAGGTTCCAATTCGATTTACTGCCAATCCTTCTCGCAAAAATGAATTATGGGTATACAAGTCTCTATAGATTGGGTTTACTTCTTTTGCTTCTCTACTAGGTCGAGAATATTATTTTAGGACTATATCGGATAATTTAAATACTGGAACACTACTGGCGCGTTTGTCGTTTTTTTAATATATAATAGCCAGTAGTAGATGTCAATTATTGTTTATGTATTTTTTAATAATATATTTTTAAATATCTAATATTTAAATATGTCTATGATTGATTTGCCTTTGATTAATTAATTTTAAACCTACAATCATCTGTCTCATGTCAGTGTTAATTTTTGTTTGTGAATGCCCATATTCTGTATATCCTGTTTTTTTTTGTTACTTAATATGTGGAAATTCTTAATATGTGGACATTTTTGTCTAAATCTTTGGCGCAACATTATTATATATATATATATATATATATATATATATATATATATATTTTGATATTGCAGTAACAATAATTCTAAAGGAGTTATAGATGGAGTTGTGTAATTTGAAAGACAATTTTAGATATTATTTCTATCAGTCACATACCTATTAGGATCTACAGAAACCTTGTCCCCTTTTTTGAAAGAAATTACACTAGCTCCTGTTTCTACAACAGTTCCTGAAAATTCGTGTCCTAGAGTGAAAGTTTCTGCATCATTACACGGAAATTCGCCCTGAAAAATAATAAATGATATATTACTTTTACATTCCAGAGACAAGTGTAAACTACATCATTATGTCAATATAATAGAGACATTAAATAAACATTAATTGTTGTAACAACACTTTTCTTATTGGAAACGTAAGCCAGTATTCGAAGTCTATCTCACATCAACCTGTTTTTAGATATATGTATATTACTTTAACTGCGTTTTGGCCAAAAACGCGGTTAAAGTGATATACATTTCCAATCAGATGGAAATCATATAGAAAAATTATTTGCATCTTACAGGACTGATGATCACCTATATGGAGAAGGAGAAACAGGACCTTCAATCCTTAAATCGGAGATAGAAGATGCCATTGCAGCACTAAAAAACAATAAGTCAGCAGGTCCTGACAATGTACCCTAAATGTTAAAGATCATATGTAAATCAGACAAACAGTTCCTTGATAATCTAGTTGTACTTTTTAACAACATATATAATAGCGGTAAAATCCCGGAGACCTGGCTGCAGTCAACATTTATTACAATCCCGAAGAAACCAAATGCCCAGATTTGTGATGACTACCGGCTTATAAGCTTGATCAATCATGTCACTAAAGCGTTCACTGAGATTATTCATAGAAGAATATAATAATATGATAAATGTGAGTCAAATATTGATAGATCGCAGTTTGGTTTTCGGAAAGCACTTGGAACTAGAGAAGCAATTTTCGCTCTCCAGGTGCTTATACAGCGGTGTAGAGACGTTGATAAGGACGTGTATTTGTGCTTTGTAGATTTTAGAAAAGCATTTGACAATGTCAATCATGAACAATTGATAGGTATTCTGCGAAAGACAGGTATTGACGACAAGGACATTCGAATTGTGGCAAACCTATATTGGGGTCAAACAGCAAGAGCAAAAATTGGCAACGAACTCACTGAAAGCGTGCAGATCAAAAGAGGTGTCCGTCAGGGGTGTATATTATCCCCACTCCTATCCAATATTTATTCCGAGGAAATATTTAACAAATGTATGGAAAATGCAAATGAGGGCATAAAAATAAACGGCGAGTTACCGAACAATATAAGATATGCCGACGATACGGTGATCCTTGCCAGTACCATAGACGAATTACAACAAGTAATGGAAAGACTTTATTCAGTTAGTGGGGAATACGGCCTGAGCCTTAACTTCAAGAAGACAAAGTGGATGCTGATAAGCAAGAAGCAACAACCTGCTCGACAATTACGGATAAGTAACATACTAATTGTAGAATCTTATGTGTACCTTGGCACCAACGTAAATGCAAAATGGGAACAGACCATAGAAATTAAGGCGAGAATAGAACGAGCTAGAGCAGCATTTAGAAATATGAAAAAGCTCCTCATAAGCAAGGATTTGTCTCTTCCCCTAAAACTACGTCTAGTTAAATGCTACATTTTTCCGATCTTGCTGTATGGCTTGGAGGCCTGGACGCTAACGGAGACGCTAACGAGAAAACTAGAAGCATTCGAAATGTGGGTGTACCGACGCATTCTTCGTATATCCTGGACCGAACATGTCACCAACATAGAGGTACTCCAAAGAATCGAAAAGGAGAAAGAAATCGTGAATACAATTAAACAAAAAAAGCTTGAATATCTAGGCCACATATTGAGACACGATAAGTACCGTCTGCTACAATTGATTGTCCAGTAAAAAATAGACAGTAAGCGAGGGCCAGGCAGGAGAAGACACTCGTGGCTCCAAAATCTGCGGAAGTGGTTCGGGCTCACATCGGTCGAACTATTCAGAAGCGCCGCAAACAAGATCAAAATTGCCATGTTAATAGCCAACGTTCGCAACGGACAGGGCACTTGAAGAAGAAGAATCAGATTTTATTTCAATTAATTTTTTATTTATTCATAAGATTCTTTGTATCTTAAAAACCACCCGTGCACGATTCTCTGCAGACACCACATACATTGGCAGTAATGCCAATAATTATCGTGAATAGCAGATATCATCAAGTAGCATTGCATAAAAGCACTACAGGCCTTGTAAGTCTCTGGCTTTCAAAAACTTGGTTATTTCTCTCCATTTTTTTCGGTCTTCTTGCTTTCTCTCTTCAATCTCTCATGCCTATTTCCGATAAGTCATGCTTTACTGCTTCCAACCATTTCTTCTTTGGACGTAGTATTCGTATAATGTGACCCAGCCGTCTAGCTGTTTGGGCTCGTATTTTTGCCGTACTTATTGGTTTTCCGTACATCTTCATTATTTCTTTATTGGTTCGACTTCTTCAAATATTCTCTGTCGGCTTTGTTCCTCCCAAGATTTTTCTGAGCAACTTTTTTTCCCAGATCTCTACTTTCTTTTCTTCCTGCTGGTTCATAATCCACATTTCACTGGCATACATCACTGTACTACTGACACATTTTTTGCTTTTAGTATTAAATTTAGTGACACTATCGCTCTGCTTCCTTTTATTAATCTTTTGTCTATCCATTTTCCTTCTTTTTCCGTTTTCGTTATGATTACTGATTACGATATAATTTTCTTTTATTTTCATATATTGCGTTTTTGATTGGTTTATTATTAATCTGTATCTTTTCGCTTTTTCTTCAAATTTCTGTACATCTTTTTCTAGATGTTTTTTCTTTTGTTCTAGCTAGTATCACCACTTCATCCGCGTACCCTATGCACTATTCCCTGCTATTGAAAATGGTCCTGTTTTTAGGCTTATAAATTTTCTGGCCTTATATAGCATTGTTCGATTTATGGAGTCATATGCTTGTTTAAAATCAACAAATAGCATATATAATACAACGTTTTGTTCGTAGCTATTATTTTGTATTAATTTTAACATAATTATTTGATCAGTAGTTGTTCTTCTTGGTCTAAATCCTTCCTGGTATTCTCCAATCATTTTATTATCATATTTTATTAATATTTTTGTAATAATTTTTGCAACTTACTACTTTCACGACTACTTCTAATAGTGCTATATCTCTATAGTTTTCGCACGTCATTTCGTCTTCTTTTTTATAGATAGGACAAATAAGCACGCTATTTCATTGTTTCGGCATTTCTTCCTTTTGCTAAATTGCAGCCAAGTGATATATTCTTTTCTTCGTCACCTTCCTTAAAAATCTCAGCTAGGATACCACTTCTTTCTCTTGCACTTTTGATATTTTTTAGGTCTCTTATTATTTCTTCGACTTCATTCAAAGTCGGTTCCTCGCGCGTCCCTTCTTCATCTTCTTGCTAATTCTCATTTCTCTCGAATTCCTCTTGTTGGTCTGTATTTAATAGATCTTTCAAGTATTCTGCCGATCTGTTTAATTTTTCTGTTGTTTCTCCTAGACCTTCTTTGTTGCTGCAATACTGTGCATTATTCTTTTTAGTTTCTCTGGATTTCTTAACTCCTTGCTTGACATTTTTTACCTCTTTGTTTGTGTAGGCTTCTTCTATATTTTTCAATTGCTTTTCCAACTCTTTTCTTTTTTCTGCAAATTCTTTTAATTTCTTCTCTTATTGCCACATAGTTCTCGATCGCATTTTGGTTATTTTCTCTATGTCTTTGTAGTTTTAACCTGTTCCTTCTTGCCAAAGCATTCTTACATTCTTCACCGAACCAATCTTGCCGACTTTTTATATGCTCTCTTCCTATACACTTGTCCGCTGCTTCCGACATGACTGTCTGTATGATCTGCCATTTTTCTTCTATATCCTGTTTGACTGGATTCTCTAGCGTTTTATTAATTTCTTTCTTTAGTCTGTTTATTACCTGCTTCTACTAAAGGTGCTCTAATTGGTAATTTAATCTATCTCTAACAAGTTTTGGAATTATTGGTAGTTCTTGTTCTAATTTTGCTATTATAAGCTATGGTCACTGTTAGTATCTTCTCCTCTGTAACTTCTGCAATCGATTATTGCTATAATGACATGATTTATGCTTTCAATTAAGACATTAATATGAACATCTTCGTGATCAAAACTTGTGCTAGCTATCTTCAGTGTTTAATACTAACGAAAAATTAAAGAGGTGGACAGAATACATTAATGAGTTGTTTAAAGACAATAGAACAGAACAGATAAATGTAAAAATAAAAGATGATGTGGTTTTAAAGATATTAAAAGAGGAAATTAAAATAGCATTAAAAAATTCTAATAATGATAAAGCAGTAGGTCCAGATCAAGACCTAGTGGAAAGCTTAAAATGCATAAATTTTAAAAAGCTTAGACATTATAATATATATATATATATATATATATATATATATATATATATATATATATATATATATATTTGTATGAACTTTACACATTGCAGTTTTTATATAAAGAAAAGGAAGAAAAAAGTGACAATAACAATAAGTAAGTAAGTAAATAAGTAAACACTGACATAGAACATATAAAATTAAAATTATTAAATGAAAGTCGAAGGTTACATCCTCGAAGCCAATTTATCGCCTTGGGAATAAGTTGGTGGATTTCTTAAAGGCTGCCAAAGAACTTGGTGGCTGGACACTCGAAGACGATGTGGTTAATTGTTTATTCAGCAGCGCTGCATTTGTCACATTCCGGGCTGGCATTTATACCCCATTGATTCAGCGATTTGTTACAAATTCCATGACCAACTCGTATTCTATTTAGGTTGCACCATTCACGACGGGGAAGAGAAAAGCCGTCTGGTTTGATTGTGGTGTTTTCTATCAGATTGGAATTTCTGATCTCTGGATTCTATTCGTCCATCCAGTGCTCTTCGGTAGTGAAAACAGCCAATTTTGTAGCAGTTTTAGTAGGTGGATGTCTGGATTTCAGTCATAACTGTCTTTGGTGTAGTTTAGCGATGTATGTGTTTATCGGTAGCTCTAGGTTTTGTTGGCATTTTTGAACTAGAGTGTTGGGTGCGACTAGTCGTCTTGTTGCTGGTGGAGCGATGTTGCTTAGAACTGGAAGCCATTGGGTTGATGTGGGTTTTATAGTTCCCGTTATGTGTCTCATTGTTTGGTTTAACTGGGTATCTATGACTTTTGTATGATGACTGTTTAGCCAGACAGGAGCGCAATATTCTGCAGTAGGATATACTAAGAACAGCGCGCTCATTCTTATTACCTCTGCATTCGACCCACATGATGTATTTGCTAACTTATGGATAATATTATTGCGGGTCTTAATTTTTGCTGAAGTATTTTCCAAATGCTTTTTGAATGTTAGGGTACGATCTAGAGTTACGCCGAGGTATTTTGGGTTAGCACTGTGCTTTAGACTGGTTCCATCGCATGGAAATACTACACAAAAGTGTACCACATCAACAAAAATAAACAAACTTTAAATTATAAAACAGACACGGGGCAATTAAGCAACATATATTGCAATATATTGAACAAAATTTAAAACTCACTCACCTTAATGATTAATCATACTAACTAGCCTTAATGATTAATTGAAGAAATAATATTCCTCTATTGTTTTCTTACATTGTTAGTTTTTGTATTTTAAATAACTTTTAGTTGTTTCCATCTTATTTATTGTTAACGAACGTGCTCAAATATATTTATATTTTAACATGCATATAAATTATCAAAAATGTTATTTTAATGTCAAGTTTATTTATGTGTGAAATCTTTTAATTTCTGTAAGTATTGTAAATCTAAGTGTACGTCAGTTTTTTGAAATGTTTGTTTTTTACAGTTACTCCTGATGAAGCTATTAAATAAATGGCGAAATATTGAGCTTTAGAAAAAAACAAAGATTTTTGTTTAATTTAGACCACATACCCGATATTTCCAACATATATATATATATATATATATATATATATATATATATATATATATATATAAATGCAGTTCAATAGAACTCATCACAGCAGCGGTAGAAAGAGTAAAGATAGTGCGATAATGATATCACTATCCGATAGGGAGATGGCACTCAATGAAGAAGATATTATACGAAGGACATAGCATGTATTAATTAATTACATCATAAAAGCTACTAAAAATTAAAAAACCTACCGAAATAATATGAAGATCTGTTCCACAAATACCAGAGTAAGCAACTTTTATCAGCACTTGATTTGGTTGTGTAATTTTCGGTATTGGCACATTTACCAATTCTAATTTTTTAATTTTTGACGTAAATCGTAGCGCTTCCATCACTTCAAAAACTTCTTGTTACGGCGAAAACTGAAAAACGAATGATTTTAGCAACAGAACTAGATAAGATAATTTATCATGTATGTGTACATCGAATAACTTTCCACTGCTTTTAATTAACAATATCTAAAAATATACACTGGCTATAAATTTCAATTATGTAGAGATTATGGTATATACATTTGGTTTGCAATGTCTTATACGGGGTAATTGCAATGATAAGACAATTTATTAAAAATAATAGTAAATATTTTCGTTTAATTCAATAAGAGAATTAAAAAAAATTCTTGTTTTTAAAAGAAAAAGTGAGCCATATGCGGCAAATTTTCGTCTTTCTCTACAACCCTTACAATGCTGGCAAGTGTTGGGATCTCGTTGTTAAGATAAAAGACATGCACTTTTCGTCTTATTATATTTTAAATATCTTTATCAATGACAAGTAAATTTCTTCCTATTGATTTTTTAGAAGATGCTGCATTTCCATTTCCTCTCTCCAAAATGCATGTGTACAAAGTAGATTTACTCACTCCTATCGTATTATCGGGACTACAGTTCCAACAGTAATATAATTTAATGATATATTTTTGACAGAGTTTATTCTTTCATTAAAGGCCCACTAGTTGACACGTGCCCAACATGTGACTTGCTTAAAGTCAATATAGACACAGCTCTAACAGAAGAAATAAAAACTGATGCTAAATAAAAACTAGAAATTCACCACAAGCAAGCTAACGTGACAAGACAACAAATGAGTAAAGATTGCATAGAATCCAGAGGAAACAACTCAGATATTCGAATGGTTCAATTTCATCTACTGCAACATATGTATCTTCCAACATTTATTCATACCCAAATGAACTACAGCCGTTTGCTCGTCTGTATTAATATGGGTATTTATTTAGAAGACGAAGGAAAGGGCATCATGCTCTCCTGGAATAAAACTGTCTGGCAAAGTGGGTCCAATGAGATTGCTTCATATCTGTACAGGTTTTTTACCAGTAGCGACATAGGATTCACTACAGATAAGCAGCTCACTATATTTCCTTCTACTACAACTCTAAAACTCGCCAATACGGTTGGCCAGCGCGGCGTTTCAAGGCCAAATTTTCCCTCATGATGGATACATCAAGTGTACGGCCCTCAGTCCCCGGCGGTTCCAATTTCCCTGACCAAGGTAGCGATCAGAACAGTGTTGGAGCAGAGGGTGCTAAGAATCACCGGAAGGGATCAGGCCACCAAAACAAACGACAAACTTTATCAACAGAAGCATCAATGATAGAACTGGAGAATGAACTACAACACATAAAATCGGATATAATCGGTATAAGTGAAGTTAGGCGTCGAAAAGAAGATCAAATAATACTTAAGTCTGGGAATATGTTCCATTTCAGAGGAAGCGAAGATTCATCTGTTGGAGGAATGGGTTTTTTAATCCATAAAAAATGGGTACCAAACAATCACAATAAAAAGTATATGTACCGGAGTCATTTATCTTATTTTTAAATTAAACCCAAGATACAAACTTAAAATTATACAGGCTTACGCACCAACTACGAGCCACCCGGATGATGAAGTTGGATGAAGTTAAACAATTTTATGAAGATATCAGAGCAGCTATACAAACATCAAAAACACATTACACATTGATAATTGAAGATTTTAACTCCAAATTGGGATTCAAACAAGATGATGCAGAATCTGCTATGGGAAACTTTGGATTGGGTGAGAGAAATGAGAGAGGTAGCAGGCTTCTTGACTTCTTACATCAGGAAAATCTCTTTGTGATGAACTCATTCTTCGGAAAGAAACCCAACGTAAGTGGACATGGAAGAGTCCGAACCAAAGAACAAAAAATGAGATTGATTTCTTAATATCAAATCGGAAAGATATTGTTCAGGATGTAACAGTATTGAATACATTTTCAACAGGGAGTGACTATAGACTAATTAGAGAAAAAGTCACTTTTAACACTGAAGTTGAAAGAACAAAAATGATCCTCAAAAAGAAAAGTGGAAGGTGGACGTTCCCAGAAGATATAACACTTTACGAAAAAAATATTAAGACTAGTTTGGATACACACGACTTAGAGAAAGTCAGCATTAATGAAAAGAACAATAAGATTACTCAAATATTGAAAGAAACTGAAAAGAAATACTGTCCTGAAAACAATAACAAAAAATTAAGCCACAACACAAAACATCTTCTAGACGAAAGAAGAAAACTTAGGGAAAATCAGTATCATAACCAAAATGACCTAAGAATTTTAAATAAGAAAATTAAAAAGGAAGTTAGAAAAGATCTGAGACGATACAATATGATGGAAATAACTAGAGTAATAGAAGAAAACAAAAGCTTGAAAGTACTCAGACAGAGCATGTCCATCGGAAGAAAAAACGTCTACAAATTAAGAAATGAACAGGGGCAAATCATTGAGGATAGAGTTCAAATTATGAACACGATAGAGAGTTTTTATAGACAATTATACAAAGAACAGCAATGTAACCGGAGTGGATCATTACTAAAGATAATCAATCAGGGATCTGAAATTTTACCGGACGTAACACCCAATGAAATTCGAAGGTCAGTGCAAGAAATGAAAAACAATAAGTCCCCCGGAGGCAATGAAATAGTGGCAGATGCCTTGAAAGTGGCTGGAAAAAGATTATGGCATGTCCTTGCCAAACTATTCACTAGATGTTTGCAGAAAGCAATAACACCAACCCAGTGGTATAACGCAAAAATTATCATATTTCATAAAAAAGGAGATGCTACCGACCTCAGGAATTACAGGCCCATAAGTCTACTTTCACATATTTATAAACGATTTACAAAACGACTAGAAAATAAATTGGAATTTTATCAGCCCATAGAACAGGCGGGTTTTAGAAAAGGCTATGGAACAAACGATCACCTACTGGTAATAGAAAAATGCATTGAATATAATAAACCACTAGCTTTAATATTTGTCGACTATGAAAGGGCATTCGACGCCGTAAATCAACAAAAAATGTTGAAAGCCTTGACAGAATGCCGAATTGACTATCGGTATATAAATATAATTAAACATTTAAACAATAACTAAACTAACATAATAAATCACCTCGTATAAAATTTTAGAAAAAAAAAGTACATTATGCAATAACTATATATTTACTATATGATACCTCTTAATTACTGATAAAATATTTTATCATAAAATAATACATTTATACAAACAAAAAATAATAATGCGTTTTGTCTATTATAACTGGCGGAACAACTACTAGCTTACCTGACAACAACAGACTAATTGTCTTAGTTGTTAAAAATATTTACTAATATAATGTCCCCTCCTTTGTATGGTGCGGTATATAAATACTTCATTAACATTTATAGGTTTTTCCATTTATACTTGTTTGAAATGATAAAATCGACTAAAAATATTTGCTTGACCGTGATCATGAAATATAGCAGTCTATAATATTTTTCTTGCGATTTCTACTACAATTCAGTAACACGACTTTCATTTTATACTCTATTACGCGAAATACTGATCTGGTACTATAGATCAGTATTTCTGCTCTATACCATTAACACAAATTGTTTAATCATCTTCTAGTTCCATGACCGTTATTGATTATTGGATATCATGGAACACGCTAATTGACAGAGATGTTCTATTCGACAGATATTTCAGGGTTCGTGTTGGGAAAGAATACTCAATAGATAAGCCAGTCAAGTGTGGAGTCTCGCTAGGATCAGTACTTGGACCGCTACTTTTTTGTATCTACACTAATGATCTTCTACTCATTCTATCCATAAGGTTTCCATTTACGCTGATAACACTTTCTCACCCTCAACTCCAAAAACAGCTTTTGTAAGGTACAGGTGTTAGAGTTTAAGTTGAAACGATAAGAAGACTTCGTGTCCTAAGACTATACAGCAGTAGATAACTACGGGTACCCGAGTTAACCAGGAAGCACAAGATTGATCGCCTAAATTGGTGTCAAGGTTTGCGACTGGCGCATATCGTGATAATTTTTACAGTATACATTTAATGCATTCAATTAATACATTAAAGTGATACCGGCAAAAAAATAGACTCCTATGGAAAATGTCAAATTCAAAACAGATCGCGCCTGGATTATACGATATACATCAATTGAGAGACATTTCGACAAAAAGTGTCAGTCTCATTATCATCATCATTTTGGCTTTACAACCCTGTGTGTGTCCTAGCCTCCCCAAGGATTCTCTTCCAGTCGTCCCTATCCATCCTTCCTCCGCCAAGCACGTATTTCCATATTTCTCATATCTTGGTCTATGTTATCTAGGAATCTTGTTCTGGGTCTTCCTCTTCTTCTTTGACCAATAGGTCTATCAAGGAGCGTTTTTCTAGCTGGGTCGGTTTGCTCCATCCGCACTACATGGCCTACCCACCTCAGACGTCCTAACTTAATGTGTTTTACGATATCTGGTTCCTGGTATATTTTATAGAGTTCGAAGTTGTATCGTCTTCTCCAGACACCATTTTTATTTACCGCTCCATAGATTCGTTTTAGTATTTTTCTTTAGAAACATCCTAACATGTTTTCATTGCTTTTTGTTAAAGTCCAGGTTTCTGTACCATATGTTAGAACTGGGCGTATTATTGTTTTGTAGAGTTTTACTTTTGTATTTCTTGATAAAACTGTAGATTTAAAAAGGAGATTAAGCCCAAAATAGCATCTATTAGCCGTGCAAATTCTGCGGTTTATCTCTGCGGTAGTGTCATTTTCAGTATTGACGAGCGTTCCCAGGTATACAAATTCGTTAACTGCTTCGATGACGTCGTTTTCTATAACAAGTGGCCGTCGTATTTGTGGTTGCGGACCTATTTTCATGTATTTGGTTTTATTAATGTTTATTATTAAACCCATTTTTGTATGCCTCTCGTGCTGCGTTTTCCGTTCTCCCAATAATATCGATATCATCAGCATATGCTAGGATTTGCACAGATTTGTTATATATTGAACCGGTAGTTGTGATTTGTGACCTACGTATTACTTTTTCCAGAGCTAGATTGAATAGTACACAAGAGAGTGGGTCTCCCTGGCGTAGCCCGTTATTTGTACTAAAAGGTTCAGAGAGTTCAGCCTGGATTCGTACTCTGCATTCAACTTTTTCAAGGG